TATATATATATATATATATATATATATTAGCTAAAAAGTTTCCAATACATTACGTACATGCATACCCATGTATTTTACATAAATACATATTATACATTTATATATTTATATAGAGAAGTGTATTAGCTAAATGTTAACATTTATTAGAAAAACATTTGAATTCTTTGCAAAACAATATTTATCTAACGCAACAAAATGGGCAATTTTTAAGGAAACGTTCATACCTAATAACAAAGCAAACCTTGAATTGTAGATTTCACTTTTATATCTTCTCCTATCCTCCATAGTTGCATAATATATATATATATATATATATATATATATATATTATTCCTAATTTATGTTTATTTATTCTCAAATCTACTATCCGAAGCTATTTCATTGGTGAGAGTGGAAAATTTGTTTATATTTTTCATCTGAAAATAATGTAAGCATAATTAGGTATTACACAAATAAAAATTATATATCTTATATATCAACGATGGGGTTTTAAGTTTCACAAGTAGGATTAAAGAATTGATACATATCTCATTAAGATAAATTTATAAAAATTGATAAATTAATTATTAAATTGACATATAACAACCATCTAACCTCAATTGTGGAGTTTAAAGACTCCATCGTCAATGTATAGAATAATAATCTCGTACAACAAATAAGACGCTATAAAATAAAAGTAATTAAGTAACGTCTATAATTTATGTACAAAATCTTTTATCTGATTTAATTTCAACTTGTAATGTGTTATGCATCAGTCAAATGGGAAAAACCATCAATTTATTAATGAATATTTTATCATACATTAATTTAAACCTATGTAGCAATCAACGGGATAACCTTTAAAGTTCAATCTGTCAATGAATCCTACCTAATCCCAAAAAAAAGAAAAAAAAGGTTCATGAGTGAGTTTAGCATGCCTTTTTTTTGGTTAAGTATCAGGTTAATTGTGCATAATTGCAAGAGGTACGACCACATAAAGAATGACCTTGTGAGAATCCTCAACTGCTAACATGATTGCAAATGAATTTAGCCTAAAATCCAATAAATCTCTCAAATCATTTTAAAAGTTCTTTGAAGGTGACCTTTCTTTATTTTATTTATAGATAACTGTATGCTTTTCCAAATTCCATTAAAAGTTCCTAATATAATATTTTCACACTTGGTGACTCTTCTCATAATGGTGGATTATTGTGTTTAAGAGTAATACTTGAAAAAGTTCCTAAATTATTTAAAAAAAATTCAAATAAGGTTTTATTTTTTATTGCATTTAATGAAATTTTTATATTTTTATTTTGAATTAAATAATAAACTGTCATGATTAAAATTGACCGCCCGTATACTTTTATTTTGAGGTAACTCTTCTTGCCTTTTGCCTCAAGCTCAACCGCTGGTTAAAGCTCAATCACTCAATACTGAACCAAACAGAACATAGCACTACACCGTCTCAAGCCATTCTATTGGCATCCATAATCCTAGGTCTGCCATGAGATATGGCAGTGCAGTTGGTATCCCATGCAGCGGTCTTCATCCTTTTGTAACGTTCAAATCCTTTTGACGCCAAGAGTACCTAAGGTAGCTTCATACTTCAGTAGGTTGGTTACAATGCAGAAGCGGAGGAATCTACCTTTTGAATTTGAAGAAAAAATCACATTCTTTTTTGAATTGGGATTGGTTGATTAAGAATGCCACAAAATTTGATCCCTCCATTGTGTGTGATTGCTCCTTGTTAAGCAGAGACGGACTCATGTCTCCAACATTTTCGATTCTCGGCTTTGAATAAATGATTTTTGCATTTATATTTGATTCATTGACTATACATGTTATGTAACATCCCGTACCCGCGTATAAGAGTTAATATGATCTCGTCGACGAGACAGAGGGTCGATGGACGTAAATTTAAGTGTGAGAGAACGGTGACAAGCGAAAGAAATATTTTAAAATAAAATATTTTATATGGGATAAAATAATAATTAAATAATAATATTGTTAACAGAGAAGAATTAGTATATTGAAAGGGTGATTTGGAAGCGAACCGGGACAAAGTGAGACACTTTGGGACCCGAGGGGATAAGCGGAGAATTTTAGAATAAAATAATATTTTATTAATAAAATAATCTTAAAATATTAATATTTTAATTATTGTTGAAATTAGTCATGGAAGAAGATTGTATGACTAATCTAAGTGAGGGAAAAGAAGTACGAAAGAAATTCGAAAAAAAAAAACGACATTAGTGGAACCTGTGTGCCTTATTAAATAAAGTACAAGCGAGTAAGTATATATTTAAATATTATGAGAACACGTTGATGGGGTGTAAATCTTATATTATATTTGTACACATGTAAAGGGAGAAAATAGAAAAAAATTGAAATTTAATAAGAGTTGAAAGGACTAAATTACAAAGCATGAAAGTTTAGAGGGTCACACGGTAAATAAGAAAAAGTTAAAAGACTTATGTGTAATTCTCAATATTTGAAGTTAAATGGGATAGATTTTGG